ACAACCTTAAACCAGAAGGTGGGCAGATGGCTGAAGGATTCCAGGGTCCTAAATTATGAGGCTATCTTGCTACAAAAGGATGACCTGACACTAACTACTGATGAGGCCCTAAATGCAGCCACTTTCTTGGCAGGAAAGCAGGAGGGAAGAGCCCCCAAACATAAATGTTTAGATATTGTTGCATATTAAACAAAGGTGAGGCCAGACCTCGGGGAAACTCCTTTCCAGATGGGCTTCCATTTTTCTGTGGATGGATCCTCTCATGTAATAGAGGGAAAAAGGTATAATGCATATTCTATAGATGGGAAGGCCATGACTATAATAGAATCAGGCCTACTCCCTAACAATTGGTCAGCAGACTTGTGAATTGTTTGCCCTAAATCAGGCCTTAAAACACTTAAAAGAGAAAGAAGGTACCATATACACCAATTCAAAATATTCATTTGGTGTGGTCCACACCTTTGGAAAAATCTGGATGGAACAGAGCTTAATCAATAGGAAGGGACAAGATTTGGTACATGGGGAATTAATTCAACAAATATTAGCCTAAAACTACCTGAAGAAATAGCCATAGTCCATGTGCCAGGTCACCAAAAGGGGGTAAACTTTTGACGCTTGGGGAAATACTTTTGCAGAACAAACAGCAAAACAGGCTGCTCTCACTTCTGAGGCCCCAGACTTTTGTCTCATTCCTCATCTCCCTGCTTCTCATGTCACCCCTATCTTTACCCCTCTGAGGAAGGACAACTAAAAAAACTTGGGTCAGTCAGGACTGAACAGGGAAAATGGGTTCTCCCCAATGGGAGGGAAATGATCTCAAAGCCCCTAATGAGAGAACTCCTTACCTATCTCCATCAGAGGATCCACTGGGGACCCCAAGCCATGTGTGATGCAGTTTTGCAAGTCTGGGTGTATAGGATCTATACATTAGCCAAGCAAGTATCAGAAGATTGTCTTACTTGTCAAAAGATTAACAAGCAAGCTCTGAAACAGAGACCAGCTGGGGGTAGAAACCCCAGGTTGTGACCCTTCCAAAGCATTCAGGTAGATTACACTGAGATGCCCAATATAGGTTGTCTTAAATACCTCTTGGTTATTGTAGACCATCTCACTCACTGGGTCGAGGCCATTCCTCTCCCAGGGGCCACTGCTACAAATGTAATTAGGGTATTACTAGAAAACATAATCCCAAGGTTTGAGGTTATAGAAAATATAGACTCAGTCAATGGGAGTCATTTCACCATCAACATCCTTAAGGGACTTATGAAGGCTCTAGAGGTTAAATGGGAATATCATACTCCCTGTTATCCACATTCCTCAGTGAGAGTTGAAAGAATGAATCAGACTCTTAAAAACCAACTCACTAAATTAGTCTTGGAGACCAGATAACCTTGGACTAAATGTCTTCCCATAGCGCTACTCAGAATTAGGACGTCCCCTTGGAAGGACACTGGCCTCTCCCCCTATGAAATGCTTTGTGGGCTTAGCTCTCTTACTGATGTACCTTCCTTAGAAACCAATGATTATTTCCTCAAAAATTATATGCTTGGATTGTCCTCTACCTTACTTTGTTTTAGGAAACAAGGATTGTTAGCATAGGCTCGTCCACTTGACTTTCCTGTTCACCTGCACCAGCCTGGCGACTATGTACTTGTCAAGACCTGGAAAGAAAATAATCTTGAGCCATGTTGGAAAGGACCCTTCCTGGTCCTGCTGACAACGGAGACAGCTGTCTGGACCATGGAGTGGGGGTGGACTTCTCACACATGGGTAAAGGAGGTGCCCCCACCCTACCAGAAGGAAAAATGGGCTATGCACTCACATCACTTTGGCCACACCAAAGTGACTTTAAGAAGACTATAGTGAAAATAGTCTTTCTCTTTCATTTGGGAAATGCTATGCTTATTATTTATGTAACTCAGACTACCTCTTCCTTAATTGTTGAATTTGATGCATGTTAGGTCCTTCCTCGTGGAGACCTTACATCCCAACTTCAACTCCAAGGATACTCCTCTATATGTGTCCCATCCCGGGACCAACAGGGAAGCCTGGTATCTGTCCACAGTGGACGAATGTGGGGTAACACTGGATATAAAGGATACACTTCCCCTTTTTATGAAAATCCTAAGGGCTGGACTAGACCCCAGAGCACTGGAAACACTCTGCTATCCACCATACAAAATAACAGACAGTCTTTTAACAGACTGCAATTGAAATTACAGCTGTTTCAGACACACCCCTCTCCTACTTGTAAAGATAAACAACGTAACCCACTTAGAAAACCCTTGGAGTATAACACAAGAACCATCAATATTTTGTACATACGGGTTGGGAGCTGATGTCTCAAGGACAGACTGCATAAGTGCCTTTGTGCTCCATCTAACTCCCAACCCCTCCCAGGTGACACCCAGTTCTATCTCCACTCCAATACTACCTCCATGTTTCTATGGCAGTTGAACTCAGGTGACTGTAGTAGAAGTCAAGGACCTAAGACAAACTGTGGCTATTGGAATCGGGTACAGGGATATGGAATGCTTGGATGAAGGGATAAAATGCTGTCCACACATTAAATAAGAGCGATTGCTATGTTTGTACTACTGGGAGACCAGAGTCTCAGGTGGTCCAGTTTTCATTTGAATGGTCCTCAGATCCAGATGGGATGTATTGCACATTGGCTGTTTCAGGATGCTAAAGCTTGGGGCAACAAACCCTGCCGGACGCTATCACTACTGTTCCCAGAGGCCAAAGGTCCTGTGGGTCAGGCCCCAAGTACTATTAGGCCACCTACTCTAGATGTCAATTATACCCCATGTCTAACCAGAAAGGGGGGACAATTGACACATGTAGGAAGCCTAACGGGATGCAGTAAAAGCCGGTCCTTCAACAGCCTCACAAACCAGTCCACACTCTCGGTGGGCAGAGCTGATGTCTGGTGGTACTGCAGAGGACTTTTACTTGAGACTCTCCCAGGTCACTGGGCAGGCACCTGTGCTGTGGTGCAGTCGGCAATCCCTTTCATCCTAGCATTGGGATCCCTAGCCCGTGCCACAACATCTAGAAATAGGAGAGACATAGACATGATACTGACCAAAAAGGGAGGAGTTTGTGTAATGAATAGAGTTTCATCTTGCACTCACAGACTGACTAACACAGCCCCTGATGAATCTGTTGCTAAGACTCTACGGGGATTAACTACCCTAACGAGCTAGCTGAAAAGTCAGGTATAAATGACCCCTTCACTGACTTAATGGAAAAATGGTTTGGAAGATGGAAGGGCTGGATGACCTCAATTTTAACCTCCTTGATCATAGTGGCTGTAGCTTTAATTTTAGTAGGATGCTGCATAATTCCTTGTGTCCGAGAACTAATATAGTGGTTGAGGCAGCCCTCACCAAACAATTACCCCTGCCCTACAAAAATAACTTGGTTATATTAGAAACACAGGAACATGAGAGCCAATGACTCCTAAACGAGTTTGAAGAATTTAAAGTAAGGGGGGAGGGGGAATTGTGAGAAAAATTATCTTTTCTATCAAAGTATTTGTTACCCTCTTAGATTACTTAAATATTCCTCAGGTCACCATCTTAGGTGACTTGTAAGTTTAAAGGGTCCTTGCTTCTTCATCCGGATTCCTGTACAACTCCATTACCTACCATAGTGTATGCCCTAACCCATCCCCCAAGCCTTTTAGCCAATCAGGAAAGATTGTGAACCTCTGACCTGGACAAATCCCAGGTGAGGGGCAGGTACAACTGTGTCAGGGATGTAAGGAGGAGCCACGTCAGCCATTTTGTGCTTGCATGCTGCTTAGCAGGAGTGAGCACATGCTTGCACCCTCTTGAACAAGAAAAATTGCCTTGTCAAGATTTTCTGTCTCTTGTGTGTCTGTTAATAACCAGAAGGTTATTAATTCCCACATGAAGAAGTAGGTCTCATTGCTCTGATGGCAGGGAGTGCTCCTTGGTGACAAGGATGGATGAAGACAAAAACAAAGACTTCCTATTCAGATGTCTTAACATTGACAAAACAAATTCTGATAAAAAGAAATGAACAAAGTTCCCCTCGTTACTGTGACTGGCACTTCATTATCTCTGCCATCCAGGTAAAAACTATAATATTTAGAAAAGGTAGAATTTCATCCTCCCCCCCACCCCATGCATCTAATGGTCAGGAGCAATCAATTCCCCTAAAGCAAACTAAAGCAAACACTAGTCCTGGTCATGTGGCTCAGTGCGTAGCCAATGACTACATTACTCTTGTAGCATGTGCAAAGCTCTGAGTTCAACCCCCAGAACAATAAAAACCAATAGCAACAACCCCACTAATCATATAAGAGAATCTACTCAGAATGCTATGATTCACAAAGCAGTCATTTGTGGTCTGTGCACATATTTGGCTGCTACAATTTGCATACTCTGTTGGAAAAAACATAGTCCTAGTGGATTTTGGGAAGGGGCCCCTCACAACAGAATGATTTAATTTTTGGTCTGAGGCATGAAACTGAAATTATGACCCAAATATTTACAACTTTTAGTACTATAAACATGAAAAGCAAAATCTACATGAGGAAGAAAACACCTAAAATTTTTTTTTTTCTCATGGCAAATGTGGACCCCAGCTTTAAATGACAAGTTTGGTAAAATTACAAATGACCTGACATAGGAATTATAGAATTTTTCATGTATCTTCTCACTAAATGAAAACAGGTAACATTTTTCAGTCTAGAAATTGCGTCAATGTCAAACTATCTCTAGGAAACAGACAAAAACAATGCTTAAAGAAAAAATACATCAAAACGTCAACTATAAAATACACTTTTTTTTAAACTCCAGGGATCAAGTTTGGGGCCGCATGAGTTCTACTACTGACCTATATCATCATGCTACAAAATGTTATTGTCCATGAAAAAGCAGTAAGAAACATACATAAAATGTAAAAAAAAAAAAATTTAGAATCTACCACCCAAGGCCAGTAGCAGAAAGAAAATTTAATTACTGGGATTAAAGTAAGTATCACCTGTAATACTTACACTCTATTGACTGAATGATACTTACAGAACTATGTCGCCATGTTTCCTTTCAAGGGTCTGAAGGAGACACAACCTAAAGATGTATACTTTTAAAAGGAGCCATTGATACAAACAATAAGTGTATAGCTTTTAAAATATTACCTTCATTAAAAAAGGAAAAAAAGATTACCTTCAGGTCCGGTATTTTCTGGAGCATTCTGTACAATTACGTTTGTCTTAGTCTCCTCAAACAAGTTAGAGTCATAGGATTTCACTTCTAGAGGAAATGTCATGGTACATTCAAATTATTTATGAAAACCCAAAGCTCTTCTTTGTCTTAGGATGTTGCAATGTAGCCCAGGTCAGATTCAAATTTGAGATCCTCCCACTTGAGCTCCAATGCCAGTATTACAGGCACATAACCCCAAACACAACAAAACTGACTCCACATTGCCATTATTTTGATACATTAAGTATTCTTTCTCCAAGTGGACCAAGTGAAGACTGACACATCTATTCAACAGGATTCCATCCTGTGTGCTTTTGTATCTGTGAATTGAACTTAAGAGGACTCAAGACAGTCCAAGGTGCTTTACACCATGACTATTATACATGCGAGGAACATGAGATGATACTGAAACCTTTTAAAATCCTAAACACAGGATTTCTCTCCAGTGTGAGTCCTTCCATGTGTCTGAAAGGAACAGGAATGACTGAAGGTATTCCCAAATTACATCTACAGCATTTCTTTCCACTACAAATCCCTTGCAGTATGAAATGGAACTGGGGTCAACAAAGTCTATTTACATTCCTTACACAGATGGGCTTTTTCTCCAATGTGAGTTGTTTTATGAACTTGAAAGTAATTGAAGCACAAGTTTCTTCACATTTATCCCACTAACAGGGTTTCTTTTCAGTGACTCTTTTCATATTTAGGAATGCTGCTTTAGCTACTGAAGTTTTTCTACAATGTTAACACATAGGGTTTCTCGTGTGTGAACTACTTCACATTTTTGAAGGGAAGGGAACCAACTGAAGGCTTTCCCACATTGCCAACACACATACGGTTTCTCTCCCATGTGAACTCTTTTATGTTTCTGAAGTGAACTGGACTGGGTGAAGGCCTTGACATACTCCTTACATAAGTAAGGTTTTCATCCTGCGTGAACTACTTCATGTTTTTGAAGGGAAGGGAACCACCTGAAGGCTTTTCCACATTTCCAACACATAAGGTTTCTATCCAGTGTGTATTCTTTTGTGTGTGTGAAGGTAACTGGATTGAGTGAAGGCTTTGCCACATTCCTTACATAAGTAGGGTTTTTCCCCTGTGTGAATTCTTACATGTATTTGAAGGTAAGTGGACAAAGTGAAGGCTTTTCCACACTGCTGACACACATAAGGTTTCTCTCCAGTGTGAATTCTTTTATGTTTATGAAAGGAACTGGAGTGGGTGAAGGCTTTGCCACACTCATTGCATACATAGGGTTTCTCTTCTGTGTGAACAACTTCATGCTTTAGAAGGTATCTGGACAAAGTAAAGGCTTTCCCACATTGCTGACACACATAAGTTTTCTCTCCATTGTGAATTATTTTATGTTTATGAAGGGAAGTGGAGTGGGTGAAGGCTTTGCCACACTCATTGCATAAATAGGGTTTCTCCCCTGTGTGAACTACTTCATGCTTCAGAAGGTAGCTGGACAAAGTGAAGGCTTTCCCACACTGCTGACACACATAAGGCTTCTCTCCAGTGTGAAGTCTTATATGTCTTTGAAGATACATGGATTGTTGGAAGGCTTTACCACACTGCTTACATATAAAGGGTTTATCTAGAGTGTGACTTCTTGTATGTTTTTTAAGGTAACTGGGTTGAGTGAAGGCTTTACCACACTGCTTACATGAATATGGTTTCTCTCCAGTGTGAATTCTTTCATGGTCTTGAAGGTCACCATGTCTTCTGAAGGTTTTCCCACATCTCCTACATTCATGGTGTTTGTCTATGTGAATTCTTTTATGATTCTGAAGAGAACTGAGATACCTGAAGGCTTTATCACACTGCTTACATTCATAGGTACATCCAGTATGAATCCTTTCATTTTTATCAAGGCATCGTGGAGAATGAAAAGTTTCCCCACTTTCCTTACATTTACGTGGCTTTTCTTCATATTCTAGGTATTCACATGGTTTGTGTCCATTGTGATCCCTGAGGGGCACATTTACAGATGAGTGACTATCGAGGACTTCTCCACACACACGGCTTTCACATGGTGTTCCTCCAGGAGTTTCCTTGTTCACAATCTCATGAGTCTGGCTGAAGGCTCCTCCCCATTGACAGCCTTCCTCATGTTCACAAAGCCTCTCTACTGCTTGACTTCTGTAACAAAAGTGCAGTATGTTACAAAGAGTTTCTTTCTCAGTGATTTCACATTTAGTCATTTGTAGCACACTTAAGTTTTTCTGTCATCAGGAAAACCATAGGCTTTATATTCTGTAGAAACTACCTGAATGTGAATGGACTGAACATTCAACAGGAAGGCACAATAGCTATTCACATGGGGTTTCAGGTTTCTTTTCTTTTCCTTTTGGCAGCACTGGGGTCTGAACTCAGGGCCTTACACTTATGAGGTAGGTGTTCTTAACATGTGAGTCACTACAGGTGCCCTTTTTTTAGATGGGTTTTTTTGAGCTAGGGTTTCATGATCTATTTCCCTGGGCCATCTTCAAATCATGATCTGCCTGATTTCTGCCTCGTGATTAGCTAGGATTACATTCAGGAGACAGAAGTACCCAGTCTCACATGGGGTTTATTAATACTATCACCACGTTCACTGTTTTGCAGACACTGAGCATTTAAGTATAGCTCAAGGGTCTATTATCCAAAATGCATGAGATCAGAAGTGTTTTGGATTCCAGATTTTGAAATATTAGCAAATATATAATGTTCTCTCAGGGATGAGACCCAGGTATAAACATAAAAATATTTATTTATTTATTTATTTGCTTGTTTTTTTTGTGGCTCTGGGATTTGAACTCAGGGCCTACACCTTGCACCATGCAACCAGCTCTTTTGTGAAGGGTTTTTTGAAGATAGGGTCTTTCAAACTATTTTCCCAAGCTGGCTTTGAACTACAATGCTCCTGATATCACCTTTCTGAGTAGTCAGGATGACAGGAGTGAGCCACTGATGCCTAGCTAAAATTCATTTATGTTTCCTACCCACCTTACCCCAAACACTGATGGTAATATAGCATCTTTAAATTTTGTGCATGCACGAAATTTCTGTATAATAAATCATCATAAAGTGTTATCTGTAGCATCATTTGGTATTCAACAAGTTTAGGATTTTTAAATTTTAGAATATGGACGATCAAGCTGTATGTAGATTTAGAAAAACTCTTTTGAGAGTCAGTGAATTTGGAGCTTGACATATACTTTTATCTATCTACATACCTAGCTATCTATAGAATATACACATAGAGAATATATATATAGGGGGTGATAGAAGAGAGAGAGACTGACAGGAAAATGGAGAATATATACATATTTGAGACAGGATCCTTTATGGAGTCAGGCCTACAACTCATTACATAGCCAGGCGAGACCTGATCTTGTGATGCTCCAGCCTCACTCTCCCAAATGGTGGCATTACAGATGTGTACCACCACATACTTTATGAAAAATTATTTTCTCTTGTGAGAACAAGTTACCTTAGATATTTTCCAAGATTTTTATACTCATCTTCAAAGTTCTGGTCTCTCCATTTTTGTCCTAAAAGGTAGACCCAGAAAAACCAATATGGATTATTACAAACTTATATAAAAAATTGGGTTTGGGTTCAAGTTCCTTTACAATCATGCCAGTTTGTCTCACAAAAGCATATTTTCATATTCCAATCTCTGAATGTCATGGATGAGCACAGAATACCTTGTCCCTGACTCAGTGAAGGCATGATATCACCCTTACCTACAGCATGCAGGTTTCTGATGGTTTCCCGCATCACAGCTCTGTAGAGATTCTTCTGGAAAGGACTCAGCAAAGCCCACTCCTCCAGGGTGAAGTTCACAGCCACGTCCTCAAAGGTCACCAACTCCTACAAGATCCATACGTGTTTTCAGGAGGAAGGATGAGATGGAAAACACCTGGGGTCTAGACTCAATTTACAAAAAGTTCACATGATGTTATGTTGAGAGCTCCAAGCATGTTCTACGTGACTTGATTTTTCTATTCTTTATGTCCAGAATCACATATCTATTTTTCTTAAATAGTCTCATTGGTGACTTCAAATGTGTTGATGGGTCATCCCTAAATCTCACTGTACTGTGGCTCTGAAGCACGTGCCCAATTCCATTGCCCTACTATTCAGTATACAGAACCGCATTAAAATCGGAAGTCCTAAGACGTTGTATTCATAGACGTGTGTGTTCCCAAGGCTGCACCACCTTCCTTGCACCTGGGATGGCCCTCAGCCATCTAGCTGAGGAGAGGAGCATCATTTGCCTACACAGTACACAGTGAAACAGTATGCTATCTGCTTCATTCACTTGTTTCCCTTGAAACTTTGCACATTTCTCACAGGATTAGTAGAGGAAGCCTTGGTGACCAGTGTCCAACAGCTCCCTGGGTACTGATTCTCTATCAAGTCTCCCTGACACAGTATTTTAAGCCCATTGTGGTAACTCCTTGCTCGAGGCATGCAGCACATCCTTGCAATTACATTAAAGCCAACATTTGAATACCTGTACCTACTGTCCTACAGAACAAATTTAATCATTATGTAAGACTAATGAAAGATAAATGATTGAAAGCACACAACAATGCAACCATCACTGACAAAAACTTAGTGTGCATTTCAAAATGTACGAGAGGATTTTGAATGTTCTAACACGGAGAAAGGAAACTATGTTAAGACATGGGAAGTAGCCTGATCTACTCGGCGTACAGTGTATACAAGTACTGAAATATCACACGGCAGACCATAAACATACGCACTTATGTGCGCGTTAAAAATTAAAAGAAAGTTGGGTGCCAGTGGCTCATGACTCTAATCCTAGCTACCCAGGATGCAGAGATCAGTAGGATTGTGTTTCAAAGCTAGCCTGGGAAAATAGTACATGAGTCACTATCTACAACATAGCAAGAGCAAGTGGGTGGTAAGGGAGAGGGTGGGGGCAGGGGGGAGAAATAAACCAAGCCTTGTATGCACATATGAATAAATAAAAGAAAAATGAAAAAAAAAAAAAAAACATAGCAAGAGCAAAATGGACTGGAGGTATGGCTGAAACAGCAGCAGTTTTATAAGTGTGAAGACCTGAGTTCAAACACCAGTCCCACCAAAAAAAAGAAAGTAACAAAATTTAAAGAGGAAGTCGAGGGGTGGTGTCACATGCCTGTAATCCCAGCTACAAGGGAGGTAGAGAAGCCATAATGGCAGTTTGAGACCAGCCTGGGCAAAGGGGGAGACACTATTTGAAAAATAATGAATTGGGCCAGTGGCATGGTCAAAGTGGTAGAGCACCTGCCTAGCAAACATGAGTTCTGAGTTCGAATTCCGGTACAAAGCAAACAAAAAAATTTAAATAGGGCATTTTCTCATTAAAAAAACAGTCAAAAGAAATGGAATGACAAATGTAAAGATATTAAAATTGAGGTGGTAAATACAACAAAGCAGAACAGAAATATCTACAATGCATGCAATTATAAGAGGATTATTGCACAGAGTAAAAATTTAAAAGCTTGGGAAACAACCAAAATGTATTTATCAGAAGGTAAAACACCCTATGCAAAGGGAGATCCAGGTATTTGATAATGAAGAGACAAATACATTTGAGTAGATCCCATTTCACACCTACGAAAAGGACAAAATTCAGGCCATTAGTAATACCATGTATTGATCATCACGGAAGACCATGAATCATGCAGGAATGGAGATCAACAGCTGCCTTTTTATTGCCTGTAATTTGAACTAGACCGTAACCTAGAACCCAGAGGGCTCACACCTGTAATCCTAGCTAATCAGGAGGCAGAGATCAGAAGATCGTGGTTCCAAGCCTTTCCAGTGAAATATCTCACAAAACCCTATCTTGCAAAAACCCATTACAAAAAAGACCCTGAGTTCAAACCCCAGTACAGTAAGCAAATAAATAAATGAATAAAAGAATGGGTGCTGTGTTGTAGCACTTGGAAAAAGACAAGCCAAATGACAGGAGCAGAATTTATCACGAGTACAAAAGTCAAGCCCAAAAAACCAAATACACAATCCAATACAAGTGATAAACTGGCCCTGCCCCAGACCCTGGCACTTCTGAAACATACCTTGGCAAAGAAAACACCCATCAGCCTTTGCAATTCCATTAAGACTCACTTGCTCAAAATTCAAAGGAGGCAAAATTTTAAAAGCACTGCTTAGTTAAAAGTAACAGATTGTAAAGATAGGAAAGTTCACCAGAGAATCAGGGCATTGGGACAAAACTGGCATGAATAAGGCAGGAGAGCACCCAGGGACATTGTTGACTGCAAGGCCAGTTATGAATCTGGATGGGGAATCCAAATGTGTTCATATTGTTATTAATACTAAATCTTACAGGAAATGTTTTATTCATTCATCTCAAATATATTTCATCATAAAAATGCAAAGACTTAAGACTGAAAAGCACATCCTAATGTGTGTGGTCACCTGTCTGTAATGTGACAGTCTAAGTTGGAATCCACAGATCTGGTAGCAAGAAGCAGAGCAGCATAGGTCACAGCAGGGGCTCCCCAGCAAGCAGCAGTTGAGATGCATGACAGTCATCAGAGACCTGGGCAGGTGAGTGGGTCACAGCAGAGGAGACAGACTCAGGGGAAGGTGTTCTAAGACTAGTGATCTTCTGTAAGGTGTCCTGATGTCTACTTTGAAGACAATGTGGCACAAAGGGGACATGTGATGCTTACCACTCACAGAAAAATGACTCCTGTGAAAACACTGACTGAATATAAGTAAAAGGAATGGAGACTTCAGTAACTACACAACTGAGGAACACACCTGCAAACATTATCAGGAAAATTCAAAAGAAATAGACCACTACTGCCATTCAGAGGACCAGCAGGGCAGCAGCAGAGCACAAGTGGTAGAGGGTTGCCTGGGAAGCATGAGGCCCTGAGTTCAAACACCAATACTGCAAAAAAAACCCAAAGAAAGAAGAACCTCATTTCCACAGCAATGTCATTTCAGTATTCAAATGCGCACGTTTTTCTTTTTTGGCGAGGGTGGTACTGGGGTTTGAACTCAGCGTCCCACACTTGCTAGGCCAGTGCTCTCTCACTTGGGCCATGCCCGCATCCAGTTTTACTTTAGCTTCTTTCCCAATAGGATCTTCTGGTTTCGCCCTGGCAGGCCTGGACCACGATCATCCTATTTGCACCTCGCTGGGAGCAGAGATGACATGTGTGCCACCACACACAGCTTAATGGTTGAGACAGGGTTTGAGCTGTGCTGGCCTTGGACCTACATCATCCTGATGCCTGCCTCCTGAGGACCTGGGATTACACACATCAGCCACAGTGCTCGCTGTTGAATGTCCATGTTTTAATAATGAGAGAGAGAGAGAGGAGAGAGAGAGAATTTCATAAAACATGAATAGTCATATAGAAAAATTCTCACTGTTAAGAGATCATCAGTTAAGGAAAGGTACAATAACACAAATGGGTTGTTTTGACAGATTTCAAGTGTGGACAAATCACACAATAAACACACACCCAGCCAGGCACCAATGATTCACACCTGCAACCCTAGCTATTCTGGAGGCAGGGATCAGGAGGATTCCACTTTAAGGCCTCCGTAGCCACATATTTCACCAGACACTATGTCGAAAATACCCCACACGAAAGAGGGTAAGCCCAGGGTTTAAAGTGTACCTGCCTATCAAGTATGAGAGCAGGAGTTCAAATCCCAGCACCACTGCACAAAACCAAACCAAACCAAACCAAACAAAATACATCCATGGGAAGTCTGATAAATTCAACTACTATCAAAATTTCATATTAAATCTGAATTTAACCACCTAATTATTTCCAGTGTGTAAAAAATTATGTTCCATTAAACGTGGGCACAAAAATAAGAATAATATTTTCAACATCTAAACATAAACCTGGGCAGGGAACTTGTGATTACTCATGTAATCCTAGCTACTCAGGAGGCAGAGACATGAGGATTGTGGTTCAAAGCCATCCCAGGCTGATTAGTGGCTCAAATGGTAAGAGTGCCATCCTCGGAAACACAGACATTGAGTTCAAATCCCACTACCGAAGGAGAGAGAGAAAGACAGGGGGAGAGGGGGGGAAAAGAGGGAGAGAGAGAGAGAGAGAGACAGAGACAGGGAGAGAGAGATGGGGAGAGAGAGAGAGAGAGACAGAGATGGGGGAGGGACAGAGAGAGACAGGGAGAGAAAGCAAGGTAGAGAGAGAGATGGGGGAGAGAGGGGGAGAGAGACAAGGAGGGACAAAAGAGAAGGAGAGAGAGAGAGACAGAAAGAGAGGGGGAGAGAGAGAGGGAGAGAGAGAGAGATGGGGGAGAGAGAGATAAGAAGAGACAAAAGAGAGAGGGAGAGAGAGAGACAGAGAGAGGGGGAGAGAGAGAGGGGGGAGAGAGAGACAGGGGAGCGTGATGGGGGGAGAGAGAGAGAGAGACGTGGGGAAGAGAGAGAGAGACAGGGAGAGACAGAGGAGCTGCTTCACCCACAGTTCACAAGGGACCCAGGCTCTTAAGGTGAACACAAGTCTGACCCTAGACACCACTGTCACTGTGCAGAGACAGCCCAGGGCTTCAATCCCAGGGAGGGAGGGAGGAAGGAAGGAAGGGAAGGAAGCCTGAGCAGCCAGGAAACTTCATTCTGGGGCCTCTCCACACCAAGGGCTTCCCCATCCATGTTCTCTCCTCCCAGCAGCAGCAGGCTTTGTCCTACAGGCTGGGTTCTGACCTGAGCTGCCCTGTCCTTGTCCTGCCCTCACTAATGACACCACATGTGTGCTGTTTACTGAACACCAACCAATTCCCCAGCACCCACCTGGTGTCCCACAATGCAATTCTGACAACAGGGAAAATCAGAACATTCCCTATAACTTCTGGGCTCAGACTTGCCACACTGTTCCCATGTAGATTTGAGGCCAAAGCCTGTGTTTGTTCTGTGTGCTCACCAGTCACCTTCCTCAAGTGATGGAGAGGTGGCACGCTGAGTCACCTCATTAGCACAAATTCAGAAAAGTGCCTAAAAGACGTGAATGACAAACAACGAAAGACACTCTTATTACTCAGCGAATTCCAAGGGTTTAAGGTTGGCTGTGTCAGAAGATCTGAGACACAGACTGTTTTTTTAAATTATACTGCTTCCCCAAATATACCACCAAAATTACAATTCTTTTCTCCATATGACACAGTGAAGGTGTCTTTCTCTCGACACCCCTCTCAGACTTCCCTAATTCACACCAATTACACCTAGAACACACCAACTGAAAGGAAAAGAAAAACTGACTAACACCTCAGCGCTGGAATCTTGGCAAATGGCAGTGCTCACACAGCTCCCACCTCACAAAGCTTTCCATTTGAAGGTTGCCACCATCCTCTCCTTTTACGTCTGTGCACTGGCCAGACACAAACTTTTCAAATGCACACTTTCTGTGTCAGAAATGATTCAATCAAGTGATCAGCCAAAACAAAACTGAAGCAAACATTTCTAATCTTTTTCCATCTCCTCTCACCAGACCTCTGATCTCTGACCACCCTCGCCTGAACCACCAAAGACCCTTCCTTTACTGTCACCTTAAGGACAGGTGATTCTGTCCCGTGAGCTGATGCCGCCCCTCCACCGCCCTCCTCTCCCCTTCTTTCTCCTGCTGTTTGCTCCTCCCTAGAAAGCACAGCCTGCTCGCCTGGCCCTGGAGACCCCGCAGACTTGCACTTGGGGCTGTCCCGCCTCTGCACTAAGCTCAGGTCCCCCGCCATCTGCGTTTCATTTGTAAACACTGTGTGCACACAGGCCAAGGCCGACACCAACCACGTCAGAGGGACCCGCGTCTCCCCTTCCGCTCCCCCACACGTGTCCCCGAGGACCCCTTTCCCGTGCCGGCCATGCGGGGAGTCCACAAAGCTAGGGATTCCCCGGCTGAGGACCAGGTGGCGGTGGAGACGCCGCTTCCACCATCAGGAAACTCGGGGCGCTCAGGTCTGCGCCGGGATGGGGACGGGGACCCCGCGGCCACTCGGGAGCCTCCCGCCACCTCCGCCGGCACCGCGCTGTGGGGAGACGCGGGGCTGCGGGCGCGGAGGGACAGGGGGCTCCGGCGGGGACAAGGGACAGGAACTTGGGGTCCCGGCTGCGGCCCCGCCCCGCCCGGGGACCGAGGGGACGAGCCGAGCGGCGCCGGTGGCGACTCTGCCGCAGACTCCGGGGCTCACGCGGGGCCCAGTCGCTCTCAACCCCTCCTCGCCCGTGTCACAAATCCGCCCCACGCTCACCATTCCTGACTGCCGGGTGTCCTGCTGTCCACTCCTGCTCCTGGGGGTCAGCGTCACAAAGCAGGAGGAGCTGAGCTGCCGGCCAAGTCACAATTGCCGGGTGAGCTACTAACAATGGCTGCAGACAGGAAGGTGGGCGGCGAGGGGCGGGCCTTTCCCCAGCCGGCCCTCCTGATAGGACAGCTCTAGCCGGCCTGATTGGCTAGTGCTCAAGGTGAGTGACAGCAGAGCTATCCCTTAGAGGTAGAGAGGAAGCAAAGAACACAGTCCAGCCCAGCTCCACCCAACTCAGGATTCCTACTGGACACCGACCGAGCCATATCCAACACAATAGTGCAGCGAAGCTGAACTTGCTCCTAGTTCTCAACAGCGGCCACCCGCTTCTTCTTCCTTGAAATAGGGTCACAAAGTGTAGAGAACCCCAGACGCTGGTCCAAGGACACTGGCCAGTGGGCAGCCACCCCATGGCGATCAGGGACTCTCTGCTGCACTTTCCACTCCATCCCCTCCTTCCTTTCATGATTTCCATGGCAATTCCCGCTTATGGCGATTAGAGACTTCCCCTTTCACCCTCCTCCTTCCTCTTCCACTCTAATTACCATAGCTACTCCCACTGGCTGGGCAATGGCTCCTGACCTATCCTACAGATCCGTATTATCCTGAGCTCCTCCCCACCAAACCTGGACCTATCCCGACACCCCATAATACCTTAAACTCTTGACTATAAAATATATATCCAGGCTATAAAAACTGGGCTGCCATTTCTTCTGCGTGACTTCTCCCGCCCTGCTCTTTGGGATGGTGAACCTCACTGGAGAGCGTGCTCTCAATAAAGCTTGCTTTAAGCCTGTTTACATTATTTGGCTCCAATTTGACCTTCCCATCCGCGTGGACCTAACAGACACAACACAAGACCTCAGTGAAAGTGGACTGCTTAGGTCAGGCCAAGGCACACTGGACCAGGAGGGTCAGCCTCATGTTGTCACAGTTGAGAAACTTGGAATGAGGAAGTGGGCTTCATGGCAAGGCTTTTCTCATCCCTCATCATTGGATGAACCCAAGTTCAGTCAAGAAAACAAAAATGCACATGACTTCAATAATCCAATACATGGAGAGACTGGACTTAGATGGCAGCAACACTCCACAAAGGCATATAGGACAAAGAAGAGCAAACCTGAGCACCAGCCCAGACAAGCAACCAGCCTCAGCCAAGGTCACAAGGAAACCCACTCTGAGAAGATTCATCACATGCCTGATTCCCAGGGTGACACTGAACCCTGACATGGAGCCCAGAGCTGATGGTTCCCTGGTGGTGAGTCAGGGACGCCTCAGGATGTAACTCTGGGAGCCACCAATTGCTGCTGCCTCCTCACAGTGTTGACTCCTCAATTCAACACCTTAATAGTCACCACAAGGTAATTCACCAGGGACACTTTAAGCTTCTGACCTAACTAAACTGTCAAATTCATAATCCCATTGGACAGAGACTGCCAAGAGAGTATTTCTCTGACCTTGACTATTACAGAGTTTCTTCATGTTACAGCCCAACTATGGCAACTCCATGCCAAAATTAAAACCCCGTGCAGACCAGAGCATCATGTCAACCAGAGTCACCACCTCAGGACAGAGCCTTCCAAGGCACCTGCACATAGGTCTCCTGCCCTCCAGTCTGTCTCCACTGCTTCTGTCCCTGTTCTGAGCAGCTGGACACATGCAACTCCCTCTAACATTGGTGACAGTCCCAGGTTCTCTATGCCTGGTGATTTACCTGCTGTGCTTACCTTCTTGGTTCTATCTCTCCACTCCACCCTCATCAGCATTGACCCAACCTACTATTTCTTTTTTTTTCATTGGTTAACTTTTTGAGACCATGTCTCCATATGCAGCCCAAGTTGGCCTCAAACTTCCTATCTTCCTGCTTCTGCCTCCCAACTGTGAGGAGTCCAGTGTGCATCAGCACACCTGGCTCCCAGTCCTTTTTATACCTAAATGCTGAGCATCCTAGAAATAAGTTTATCTTTCACAAAGTCTAACTGGCCTCAGGTTGAATCTTCGTGAGGTTCAATTAGATCCTTCCATTTGTTTTAAAATTATTTTATTAGCATATGTTGTACAAAATTTCATATATATATTTCGGTACATTCATATAATATTCTTCAATCATATTCTTCCACACACACATTCACTTTACCCTGCCTACCTCCTGTTTCCTTGTCCAAAATAGCTCCACCCCCTTTATACTCATGTCTTTTTATTCTTAGATTTAACCTCTGAATATGACATTAAACATGGTATTTGTCCTTTCAAACTTGACTTAGCTGACTTAGCATGATGATCTTCAGTTCCATCCATTTTCCTGCAAATGATATCACTGCATTCTTCTTATGGCTGATTAATATTGGATTGTGTATAAGCATGTTTTCTTTATCCATTCATTGGTCGATGGACACCTAACTTGGAAATGGTGAACAGTGCTCCTCTAAACATGGGTGTGCAGGTGTCTCTATTGTATGATGATCCTTCAAGTATATACCCAAGAGTGGATCATATGGTGGTTCTATTTTTAATGTTTTTTGGAACATTCACACTGATTTCCACAGTGGCTGCTCTTGTTTACATTCCCTCCCACAGTGTCTGAGGGTTACTTTTCCCCTTTGACCCTGCCAGCATTTGTGGTCCTTGTTTCCTTGACGATATCCAATCAGACTGATGTGATATGGAATCCTAGTGGAGTTTTGATTTGCATTTAAGGAAATGGCTAAGGGATTTTGAGCAATTCCTCATGTTTTATGGCCATTTGTATTTCTTGTTTTGAACACTGTCCAGTTCATTTCCCCCTTTAACTAAATTATTGATTGTTTTGGTGTTTATTTGTTGATCTCTTTATATATTCTGGATAATGACAAGTAGCTGGCAAAGATTTTCTCCCACCCGTAGATTGTCTCTTTACTCTGATAATTGTTTCTTTGATGTGCAGAAGCCTTTCACTTTGATGCAATCACATTTATCAGATCTTGCTCTTATTCCCAAGCTATTGGAGTCATGTCCAGAAAGTTGTTGCCTGTGTCTGTCTTCAAATATTTTTCTTTTGTAGCTTCAGAATTTCAGGCCTTATGTTAAGGTCTTTGATCCACTTTGAGTTGATATTTGTACATTGTGAGAGATGGGGATTTTCTTCAGTCTTCTATCCTTGTATATCCGGTTTTCCCCAACACCATTTGTTAAAGCAGTTGTCTTTTACTGAACTTATACTTTTGGTGCCTTTGTCAAGAATCGTACACTGTAACTGCATGGGGTTACTCTATTCTACTGATGTACGTGTGTGTGTGTGTGTTGGGGCACAGTGCACACACATATCATGCTTTTTATTACTAAGGCTCCATGGTATAATTTGAAATCAGTTATTGTGATAACTCAAGCTTTGCTCTTCTTGTTTAGAATTGCTTTGGCTAATCTGGGTCTTTCTGCTTCCTTATGAAATTTGGAGTACTTTTTTCTATTTTGATGAAGAATGTCATTGGAATTTTTATGGGGATTGCATATTAGCTATATAGTGCTTTCAGTAGGAAAGCTATTTTCAGAAAACTAATTCTATTAATCCATGAACATGGATGTCTTTGCCTCTTCTAGAGACTTCATCAATTTCTTCAATGTTTTATAGTTTACATTGCAGATGTCTTTCTCTTCCTCAGTTAAGCTTACTACTAGGTAGTTTATTATTTTAGGCTATTCTTAATGGTGTTATTTCCCTGCTTTCTTTCTTAGCATATCCATTATTGGTATACAGAAAAGCTACCAAGCCAGGTTTGGTGGTGTGCACCTGTAATCCCAGCTATATGGGAGGCATAGGTAGGAGGATCATCATCCTTGTCAGGTTCTATGCAAAAACATGAGAACCTATTGGAAAAACAACTAATCCAAAAAAAAAAAAAAAGGACTGGTGGTATGACTCAAGTCAAAGAGTGCCTGCCTATCAACAGGAGGTCCTGAGTTCAAAACCCTACACCAACCTCTCTTAAACTGACTGTATAGAAAAAGGTAAAGTAAACCTATCCCATATACACCTCAGCCCAGTCCTGTGCTTAGTCTATATTTTGAATGGGAGACCTGTGGTGGAAAAAATTTAAATAGTAGTATGACATACAGAAAAAAAAGAGTCCATGAGCAGAGATAGTAATTGATAGTATGTATTCTTATAATTGATCAGAACAAAAACCAGAAATGTGGTTTGGAGAAAAAAAGAAGTGGTATTGAGCTATGTTGACTTTTATTGTGTTTCTTGGCCAAAAGTTTCTTCTGATCTCAGAGTTTTCTGGTAGCAACTTTCCTGTCTTTCAAGTATGCAATCAGATCATCTACAGATAGGAATAACTTGACTTCTTCCTTTCTTATTTGTGCCCCTTTTATTTCTTTCTCTTGCCCAATTCTCTGGCTAAGAGTTCAAGCTCTTTATTGGGATTGTCTAGGGCTTGAACTCAGGCCTTTATGCTTGCAAAGCAGGGCTCTACTTCTTGAGCCACACCTCCAATCCATTTTGCCCTGGTTGTTTTGGAGATGAAGTCTTTTGAACTATTTTCGCAGGGTGGCTTCAGACCATCATCCTCTTCATCTCAGCCTTGAAAGCAGTTAGGGTTATAGGCAGAAGCCACTGGTGCCAGCTCAATTACTATTTTCAATGAGAGTGAAGAGAGTGGACACTCTTGTCTCCCTCCTTATTTGAGAGGAAATGTTTTTATTTTTTCCCCATTTACTAATGTTGGCTATAGTTTTGTCATATATAGCTTTTACTATGATGAGGTGTGTCCCTACTTTTCATAGTCTCCTCAGGGCTTTTGAGTTCTGTTAAAGACCTTTTCTGCTTCTATTGAGATGGTTGTGTGGTGTTGTCCTTGATTCTAATTATGTGCTAATTACATTTATTGCTTTCATTTTATTGATGTTATTACATTTGTTGAGCTATGCTTGCTTCCCTGGAATGGAACCAGCTTAATCATGTTGAATTCTATTTGCAAGATTTTGTTGAGAATTTTCACCTTTATGTTCATCAAGAAATTTGGTCTGTAGTTGTTTGAACTCATTGCTTCATGGCTATCTCTACCAGTTGGGGCTCTACCACTTGGGCCATGCCTCCAGTCCATTCCTTCTATGGTTATTTTGGAGACAGGATGTCATGAAGTATTTATTGGTGCTGGCCTCAAACCATGATCCTCTGGATCTCCACCTCCCAAGTACCCAGGAATATAGGTGTGAGGCTCTGGTGCTCTGCCTTTAGTTCTCTTTTTTTCACAGTAATACTGGCTTCCCAGAACAAATTTGGTAGTGCTACTTCATTTTCTATGTTATGTTACAGTTTGAGGATCACTGGTTTTAGTTCTTCTTTAAAGGTCTGGTAGAATTCAGCAGTGACTCTCTCTGGTCCTGTAGTCTTCTTTGTTGGAAGTTTCTTTATTAGTGCTTCCATACAATTGCTCATTATAGAGCTGCTTAAGGTATTTATATCCTATTGGTCCAATTTTTGTAGGTTATATGTGTCTTCAAATTTTTCTTTTTTTTTTTTGTAGATTTTACAATTTGTTGTAATGTATGTTTTTAAAATATTCCTTGCTGACCCTCTGAATTTCATTGGTATGTGTTGTAATAGATTCTTTTCATCTATTATCTTAATAATTTTTGTCTTCTGTTTCTTTTCGTTAGTATGGGTAAGTTGCTTTCAAGAACCAACTGTTACACTGACTCTCAGTATTGTTCTTTTACTCTCCATCTCATTAACTTCTGCCCTGATCTTTATTTCTTTCCATCTACTCATTTTGTGTTTGACTTGCGCATATTTTCTAAAGCTTCAGGTCTATAAATAGTTTCTTTAGAAAATCCCGTTTCTCCATGCACTGGGTAACTGTAGTCCGTGGTTAGTATGTTTTTCTTTCTTGGTTGAGAAGAGGTAGAGCATTAGAAAAGGTGTTGAGAAAGCCTTGGCCTCAGGTCCAATTCATCAATTGCGTGTCTGCCCTTCCTCCTGTTCCAGTGTGATGTCTTTTGCCCTAGGCCACCTTTCTGCTGTTGTCAGGACGTCCCCATGGGTCAGAGTCTGGAATTCCCACTTGTAAATCCACGTCCACGAGGAGAAAGCGGGAAGAGCCCAGTGAGTTCAGGAAGAAGCAGGTGGCCGCTCTCAGGAGCCAGGAGCCAGGTGTCATTCAACGCACTTTCCCCAGGCTGGACCAGGTCAGCTCCCAGTTGAACCCCGTGCTGGAACAGCTGTGGATGAACGTGTCATTTGCCCTCCTCCTGACCAGGTAAGAATCGGTTCTCCTGTCACTCAGGACTATGACAAGAGCAGTAGCCAATCAGAGCCAAAGAAGCGGCCCAATCAGGAGCGCTAGCGGGGAAAGGCCCGCCCACATGGCGGACGCTTCCTTTCTTGGGCCGCCATTGTTGCGTCACTGAGCTGGCAGTTGTGAGGTGTGGGCTTGCTCAGCTCCTGTCGCTGTGTGACGCTGACCCCAGGAGCAGGAGTGGACAGCAGGACACCGGCAGTCAGGAATGGTGAGCGTGGGGCGGATTTGTGACACGGGCGAGGAGGGTTGAGAGCGACTGGGTCCCGCGTGAGCCCCGGAGTCTGCGGCAGAGTCGCCGCCGGCGCCGCTCCGCTCGTCGCCTCGGTCCCCGGGCGGGGCGGGGCCGCAGCCGGGACCCCAAGTTCCTGTCCTTGTCCCCGCCGGAGCCCCCTGTCCCTCCGCGCCCGCAGCCCCGCGTCTCCCCACAGCGCGGTGCCGGCGGAGGTGGCGGGAGGCTCCCGAGTGGCCGCGGGGTCCCCGTCCCCATCCCGGCGCAGACCTGAGCGCCCCGAGTTTCCTGATGGTGGAAGCGGCGTCTCCACCGCCACCTGGTCCTCAGCCGGGGCTTCTAAGAAGCAGTGCGAAATACCTTGTTTCCGAGGACTCCAACATGGCCTCATCATGGGAAAACGGTCCTCCTGGACGTGTGGAGCGGAGCAGAAGGAGAGTTGCGGGTCCCTCTGACTTAATTGGCGTCATCCTTAACCTGTGTGCACACAGTGTTTACAAATGAAACGCAGATGGCGGGGGACCTGAGCTTAGTGCAGAGGCGGGACAGCCCCAAGTGCAAGTCTGCGGGGTCTCCAGGGCCAGGCGAGCAGGCTGTGCTTTCTTGGGAGGAGCAAACAGGAGGAGAAAGAAGGGGAGAGGAGGGCGGTGGAGGGGCGGCTCAGCTCAAGGGACAGGGGAGATGTCCCTGAGGTCACTTGTTCTTAGGGTGACAGTAAAGGATGGCTCAGGTTGGGAGTGGTCACAGATCAGAGGCCTCGAAGGAGGAAGGGAAGTGTTTGCTTAGCCCGTGCCTGGTTTTGGCTTAGATTTAAAGGGGGAAGGGCAAATGTCTTCTTTGCACAATGACGGGACTTGGTTTCTTTTTTGTTCCTAGTTACCAGGACTGCAAGGTTCTGTGAAATTGAATTTACAGCCATTCGGTTTTGCATCCAGAGAGTCAGAATGCAAACTGTGCCCATTGAGAAAGTCTGAGGGTTCGACCCAAAAACACATTTGGCTTCTGCCAGAGGAACAGATGGCTTATGAATGTCATAGTTTCTAAGAGTCTGTGGTATAATGGGAATGTATTTGATCTCTGTGCCCTCTGACCTCTGCCTCTGAAGTCCTAAAGCCCTTGGAGTTTGCAGAATGATAGGAGTGTGTTTGGTTGTTCATAACAAACCCTGTTCAGACAACGTCTGAATTCATAGTAAGGATGTTACAGTGCTGGAGACAGACAGCCAGATTGCGGAGCGGGACTGGTCCCCTCCATGGCGATCACATGCTTGGGATTGGCATCTACAGAGGGGACAGTGTGAGGCACTGAGCCCTGACCTTGTGGGATCTGTTAGCGGTGGGTGGTGTCATTAGTTGTTGGAAACCCAGTTGGTGTTGCAGAATTGGTGTTGCGCAAACCCCATGTGTTTTGTATCTGCATTGATGTCAGAAATGTCAGCACAATTCAGAGCCTTCAAGTGGCTCCTTTTGAGTGTTTGTTCTTTAGTAAGAATTGAAAATAGGTGTCTCAAGGCCTTTTCACACTTGGAGGAGAGGACAGTACATGCTGCAGGTGGTCCTAGAATAACATTTTCTGACTGCTCAGGTGCCCTTTACTCACTATCCAGACACTGGTGCCAGGCTACACTTGCACAGAGAGAGGGCTCTCCATGCTTAGTATGTTTTTTTCCTTTGTGACAGGGTCTTGGCTGTGTTTCCCAGACTGACTCCCAGGTCAGTCCTCTGGTCTCACCCCTGTGTAACTGGGGTTAGAGTCTGAGTGTGTGGCTCCCTGTGATCTGTGGATCACAGCTGTGTGCAGCTAGCTCCTCCCTGAGCTGCTAACCTGTTGATTCCTTTGTAGAATCTTGTCATAGCATTCCTCTGAGGTAAAGAAGTTTAGAATTTTCTTTTAGGACTGTCATGTAAGAGTTTGATTTTCTTGGTTGAAACCTCATTGGATAGAATGATGAGGCCTGGAGAAGCAAAGAGAATTCTTGAAGTTGCTTCATGCTCAGGTTAGGGAGAACGTAAGCAGCCATGGAGTCACCATCCATGTCAGTATCTAGATAGTCATCACTTCTGGTGTGTCTCCCTTGTCTCAATCTCCTCCATACTCAGAGGTGACCTTACATCCTAATTCTTTTTCCTCTTTTCAGAGACTAAAACATTTTAATATTTATTGTAAAATTCTTGCAGAATCCTCACATAGTCATAGTCTTGGAGTAAGCTCGTTTCTTTACCTTATTAACGTTATATACATTATAAAGTAAATATGTGCCATACTGTAAAACAATACTTCTAAACCATATTTAGGCAATGACCTCCAAGGAAACAGACTTGAGACACCATGTGACATTTAGGAAGTTCTCTTTCCTTGCACCATTGCTAATTCTTGATGCTCTTTCTGGCTTTTCCCTGCAGTTACCACACAGCAGTTGGTTTGTGTTGCCTCCTTCAGATTCCAAGAAGTCAGTAGTAAGGCTCCTGTGCCATTAACACTGTGCTGAGAAGCTTTCTCCCTGGTTATTTGCCTGTGTCCTTCACATGGGCTCCTGGCTGGGTAATGTCTGCTCCTCCAGAAAGACTCGCTTACCCCACAGCTTGTGGGCTTGGCTGGTTGATGTTTATTTTTTAACTTTTTTTGACTGAATGTAGAGTATCAGGTTACTAGGTGGCCCTCCATCACTTGGCCTAGTCTGTCAGCAGGTTTCCATGTTTGGTATTTTCCAGACAGGGTCTTTTGAATGATTTCCCTGGGCTGGGCTGTCTTGAGAAGAATGTGTATTGTTTAGTTGTTAGAGGGAACATTCTACAGTGTCAAATGTCTCCAGCTGATGAGTGATACTTTTGTGTTCAACTCTTATCAGGACTAAGCTTCTTCCTTTGGTAGTCTGTCATTAGTAATTGGATTGTGTGGAAGTCTTCAAATAGAATCATGGCTGTGGATGTTCCTTGCAGTCCTAGATGTGTTTTGCCTATGGGATTGACACTCAATTTAGGGTGCATATACTTGTGATTGTTGTGTCTTCACAGAGCATTCACTGCCTCATGTTATTTGATCCCTATTTTCCTTGTCATTTTCAGTGAGCCACTGCCTGATTAGTCTGAAATTGTTACAGCCTCTGCAGGTTTCTTTCTGTTAATGCTAGAAGTGTATGTGTTTGCATAAAATTGCATTGGACTTATTTTTATAGTTATAGTTATCTTAATTGAAAATAGTTACATACTATCTCATTGATAAATTTGAATACATACAAATGCAAACACGATCTTTGGAAATATGCCTGCATAGTGCCTGGATAAATTGAGATAATGAACAGATACATTACATCATGCACTTACTTCCTGTTGTGATAATACTCAAAATCTATTTCCATAGTGATTTTCCAGAGTATTAAAGCACATTACTAATAATCACCCCTTTCACAGTAGATTTCTTGAATTGCTATCTAGTATCCAAGAGACATTTCTGAGTCTTTAACCAATGCCTCCCTACTCTCCTTTCCCCTCTCTTTCTATTGGAAATGGCTTTTGAGTTTTTGGATTATTTTGTTTGTTTGTTTGTTTTTTACAGTACTGGGGCTTGAACTTGGCCTCATGCTTGCTAGGCGGGCTCTCTACCATTGGATGATAGGGTTTGGAGGCAAGATTGTTCCAGAGGAACAGAGTTCCAAACTGGCTCTTTCCTCCTCTCCCCTTGCTGACAGCAGGAAATGATTTTTCTCTGCTCTTCTTCATGAGAACTTGTATTTCTGGAATTAATTTTTACAGATTAGTTGGAAATTCTTCATACTTGCCCATTGCAGATTTTACCTCTCAAACTTAGCAAATACGTTTATCCTTCAGCAACTAATCAGCTGCAGTTTTGGTTTTCATACCCCTGCTGCTTTCTACAGAAGTGTCTTCTGATAGATTTCATGCAGCAAGTTATAGTTCTTTCAGTATTAGAGTGGTGGGATTTTCCCCAAATCCAATTGCCTGGTGCCTCCAGAGGTAACACATTGTGAAAAGCTGTCCTCAAGCCACACAGTCTGAGGATTGGCAGTATTAACTCCTTCCCACACTGGACAGTGGGACTTTATCACAGGTACCACAGATTTGTATGGAAAGAGATGTTAATGGTGATGGGCTGTGCATGTTACCACTTATACTGACAAATGAGAGATGGGCTCCTCCTACTTAGTTGTGGCTTTACTGTGCAGTTCAAGTCACAATTGCAGTGAGAGAGAGTGTGTGTGGGCTTAGTCTGATTGCCATTTCCCAGGATACCTGTGTGGAGTCTACAGCATCATGTGACTCTCTAATGGCCAGTACTGTCAGTCTCATCTTGCTTCGTGGTAACATGTGGGGTGTTTCAGGCTTCAGTGACTTTTGAGGATGTGGCTGTGAACTTCAATGTGGAGGAGTGGGCCTTGCTGGATCATTCCCAGAAGCAACTCTACAGAGAAGTGATGCTGGAAACCTTCAGGAACCTGTCTTTTATAGGTAAGTACACCATCATTGCTTTACATCATGAGTTAGAGCACAGTGTTTCTTGGTTGTCAGTCCTGCCTAGTGATTTGGAAAATGATAAACACCCTTTGTGTTGAGTAAGGGAAGCATGGCTTTGGTGTATCATGAACAGAATCTAATGATCATTTTATAATTTTACAGTAACTCAAGGTGGTTTTTCTGTGTCTAAATTTTAGGAATAAAATGGGAACACCAGAACATTGAAGAACGAAAGAAAGATCTGCAGAGAAATGTCAGGTAATTCATACTCACAATGGATAGCAGTGTCACTGAAGAGAATCATTGTGTTTCAGAAACTTTTAAAAATAAGCACAGTAAACAAAGAAAGAAGCCAAATACAAATTTACTTATTTTTGGAAAATTTCTTCTAAAATATGTACTTAATATATTCAGATTTTGCAAAATAGTTATGTTGGAAATTGTATTAAGACAACATAGATGAAAGATGGGTATAGTGGCTCACACCTGCTATCCTGGCTACTCAGGACACAGGAATTAGGAGGATTTTGTTTTCAGGCCATTCCAGGTGACAAGGTAGTAAGATCTCATCTCAACCAGTAGCTGGGCATGGTGGCATACACCTGTCTTCCTAGGTAAGCGGGAAACATAATAGGATCACAGGTCCAGCCATCCTGGGCAAAAAGCAGACCCTATCCCAAAAATAACAAAAGCAAAAATGGCTGGGGATGTGGCCCAAGTGGTAGAGGACCAGCCCAGCAAACTCAAGGCCCTGAATATAAACCCCAGTACTGCCCCCCAAAAAGAAAATTATAAAAGAGAAACATGTCAGATGACTATCACTGTGTTGATATTAACCTATTAACCAACTGAGTTTGGCCCTGGTGTCTTATGTCTGTAATCCTAGCTACTTGGGAGGCGGAGATCCAGAGGTCTGTGTCAAAGGCCTGCCGAGGCCAACAGTTCTTGAGAACCCATCTCCAAACTTTCTAGTACAAAATGGATTGGTGGTGTTGCTCAAGTGGTAGAGCTCCTGCTTTAAAACTCTTGAGTTCAAACTCCAGTTGCACCATAAAATAAAAAATAAAAAGATAATAACCATCTGTCTGGTCATCTTGCAGAGAATTTAATACACTTATGTTGAACTTGGAAAGGGCCTAAAGCCCACACTTTCCAATATGAAAAATGGAAATCCTTGTCATCCTTGCTGTCTCTGTAGAGATGACCCACTTTTAGTCTAGTGAAAGGGTAGTCCTTTCGTAAGAAACTTTACTATAATTTTCACTACATTTCCACATCATTCCTGAATTCTTCTCTTGCCAGAAACATGTACCGAGGTCTGCCTCTGCTTTCATAGTCTTCCATATTTCTTGAAGAGAATGAGACAGTGAATGTATTCCTGGTACAATGTGATTCTACTGTCTTCCCACACTTGGTAACTCGTATGCAGAAGGGGTGGTGTACACCCCTAATCATAATGCTTAGGAAGTGGGGCGTAATGGAGCAGGAATGTGACACTGGTCTGAGGTACAAAGTTGCCAGAGGGATCGTTCCATCCTTCCTGGGAATCCTTTCAGGAGGCATTTGGTAACTTAAAATGCATTCAGTCCTCAAAATGTAAATCCAGTAGCCCACCATAAAGAGAAAGCTGTTAATAAGCAAGCCCTTAATGTGTTTTCACATTTTTTTTCTTTTTGCAGAAGTCAAGTGGTGGAGAGAGTCTGTGAAGGTAAAGAAGGAAGTGAATGTGGAAAAATCTTCAGCCAGAGTCGAGAATGTACAATGAAGAAGGAAATTCCTTCTAGACTACAACGTCCTGAACCCCGTGTGTATGGAGAAGTGGCCACTGTTCATTCATCCCTTAAGAGACACAGTAGATCTGATTCCAAACACCGACTGTGTGACTTTCAGGAAAATGGGAATAGCCGCTATGACTGTCAGAAATGTGATAGAACCTTTAGGTGTCCCAGTAGTCTTCAAAGACATGAAAGGATTCACACTGGAAAGAAAGTCTATGAATGTAAGCAATGTGGGAAAGCCTTCAGTTCTCGCCACTGGGCTGAGAGACACATGGTGACTCACAGTGGGGATCGGCCTTACAAATGTAAGCTATGTGGGAAAGGATTTCCTTATCCCAATTCCCTTCGGACTCATGAAACACTTCACTCTGAAGAGAAACCCTACAAATGTAAGCAATGTGGGAAAGCTTTCAGGAATGGTTGTTCCTTTCGATTACATAAAAGAAGTCACACTGGAGAGAGACCCTATGAATGTAAGCAGTGTGGTAAGGCCTTCGCCCATTCCAGTCATCTTCAAGCACATGAAAGAATCCACAGTGGAGTAAGACCCTATGAATGTAAGCAGTGTGGTAAATCATTCACTTCTCACCACAGTGCTCGACGACACATGGTAACTCACAGTGGAGACTGGCCTTATAAATGTAAAGTGTGTGGGAAAGGATTTCCTCACGCTTATTCCCTTCGAATTCATGAAGTAGCTCACATCGAGAAGAAACCCTATGAATGTAAACAATGTGGGAAAACCTTCAAACACTCTAAATCCTATCAAAATCACCAAACATCTCACACTGGAGGGAAACCTTACGAATGTACGATATGCGGGAAAGCCTTCAGCTGTTCCAGTTACATTCAAGATCATATGAGAACCCATGGAGCGAAGTCCTACGAATGTTGTGAGTGTGGAAAAACATTCACTTACGCCAAAAGTCTTCGAAGACACATGAGGACTCACAGTGGTGTGTAAGTGATTTGGGTTCCCATTCAGGTATTCCAGTTCCTTGTATAAATATGGATGGACTCCCAGTGGAGAATAAGCCAACGAGTGTGAAGTGTGTGGTAAAGTGTTCAATCATTTCAGTCATAAGTACATAAAGGGATTTTTATTTAACTGCAACAATTTTGGGAGACAGTCCATTGCAGTTCTTTTCAGAATCTTTAGATATCTAGAGTCTTGGTGGAGACAAATCCTGCACAGGCAACGTGGGAGGGCTTGACCACCCAACCTTGCTAACACCTTGGGGAGGCATGGTGGAGAGCAAGCCTATGACTGTAAGCAGAGTAGGAGAGCTTTTATTCCTCCATGTTCAATTGGAAGCCATGATAGCACACACAGCAGTGAACTCTTGTATTTGAACACTGTGCAAAGTCTTCAGTTGGCCCAAAGCCTTGCAGCGACATGGAAATCTGCACACTGCATCCAGATGCTTACATGGGAGAAACACTTGAAGGTTTTTTGGTTCACAAATACTTCCACAGTCATGTGGAGAAATCCTATAAACCTATGGAACATGAAACCCCTCGTGCAAATTCCTCCACCTCTATGTCTCCCCAATGTCACAATTGCAGAGATGTAGTTAAAGTTAAGCCGTCTTTCTAGTGGCTCATTTTTAACGTGTATCACTGAGTTATGAATTGCTAATTCTCACTCTCACAAAGGTTGAGTGTGATGATGCTGAGGTATTTCTTAAGTAATAGTGCGTTAGTTAATTTTGAAATTGTTTTCATTTACTTATTTTTAGAGGTGACATTTATTACAATGCCCATACTGGTCAGATGTTCTAGGCACAGTCAATGTTTCTGCCTCAGCCTCCTGAGCAGTTGGTTCTATAGGTGCCTGCTGCTATGCCTGGGGAGTGCGTGAGTTTAATTGGAGTGCTTCTGTCTCTTTTTTTTTCCACAAGTGTCTCCATTCACAGTACAGAGCAGGCACAGTACCTGGGCTGAGGTGTAAATGGGACAGGTGTCTTTGCCTCTATCTATACAGTCAGTGTTAACACAGCCTATATATGCACCAGAGGTCAAAGTGCTTTTCTTTGGTAAGTAAAGTTTTTCTTATTCCATTTTAACGGGGGAAAATTTATAGGTGAATTGAAATATAATTTTAATATGCACAAGGTTAGTCAGCTTTGGGGTGAGAGATGTAACCCACTTGTTCACTGGTTGCCTAGTAAGCCCAAGATCCTGGGTTTAGTTCCCAGCACCAACAAAAGAAAGAAACAGGTAAACAAAAACCCATACTATTAGATTAAAATTACTGTCTTTTGAATGTAACATTGAAGAAATGACTCTGTGTTTATTGTTGAAATACTGAGATTGGCTTCAAATGGCATATTTTGACTATCCCTAACTCTCTTTTCCGTGTTTCATAAGTGTTCTTAATAGAAAAATTTTTATTGGTCTGGTTTTCTTTTCTCGTCATGAAGCTTACAGAGTCTTTCATTCTTAGAAATGATTTGCAACACAGAGTAACATTCCTGTGAATTCTTATGGTCCTCTCTTGCCCTTTACTCTTTCTCATTTATTGCTGAATGTTATTTGGAATATTGATTTTCACTAGAGTGGGACATCATTTGTCTGGTTTTCATAATGACGGTGTTGGGAGGCTGTGGACTAATCTTTCCAGAATCCCTTTTCTTATGGTGCCATGTTGAAACTCACCAGTACCCTAATTTTCATAACAGTTGGAAGGCAAAAGTGAGGTAGGCATTCTTCAGGCTCTATAGTGACCATGACTTTAGATTGTCATTAGCATCTTGACCATGCCGACAACTCCTTCTTGGTCTTTTTCCTGATTCTTTGGCTTGTCAGTCCAGAGAAAGATGTCAAATTCCTAAACCCTTTCTCCAGGGCACTACATAAATGACCCTTTCTCTACGGCTGATCTTTGTAGATTTCCTTAACATATTCAAGTTAAATTGACCTCAGCAACTCTACCAAGGGAATAACCAAAACTCTAGCCGGAAAATAGGTCCATGACAACCAGTCACCATCCCAAAGTCCAGAAACTCCAACTGCATCTGCTGGGAGTGAACAGTGATGACAAACAAAGTGTCCTCTCACCTGAGCTTGTCATGGTGCATGCTGGGAGGCTGTTAGAGTGGTCAAAGCTGTTATAATCGAAGCCCCAGTGTCATTGAAAGACTGAGTCAGGGGCTTAGACAACACATTTGGAGGCAGTGATGTCTACAGTGAGACCTAAACAATGTGCCACTGGGATTCGCTTGGGAAGTACAAGTAGATGAGAGGTTTCCAGGTATTGGGGAGTGGCAGTGCAAGGAATCAGGGAACAGAGGCCCACTGTGTTCAGAGACAATGGTGTGTCCACTGAGTGTGGCCATTGGGAACTGCTAGAGCGAGTTTGGGGGACATGAAGGCAGGCAGGTGGGAAGGCAAGGTCATGAATGACCATCAAGGGCACTTGAACAGGTTATTCCTAGGGCAGTGAGAAATGCTAAATATTTTTGAATGCTTGCCACAAGAAATTGAATAGTACTTCACCACGTGGTCACAATCATGGATCTTTGACTTATTTCCTATTTGGGGCTCACATAAGTATCTGGTATATAATCTTCATAGGTCCTCACATTGCAGTGTAACAGTAGGGATATAGCGGAGGCCTCCACCAACTTAGAGGACATACTTCCAATTTTCCAAAGTGATGGATTGATTTTAAGCATGAGTATGCAGCCATGTTGCTGTGTGTACAGAGTTCTCCCTGGCTACTGGAAAGAGGATATAGAGGTTTTGGGGAAGCCCAGCATGTTCTGTGGTGGGTGTTGGCTTCCAGAATGGGGTGAGTAGTCAGATTTAAGACTGACTCCAGTGACTGGACAGATATTTTTTCATATTGCACAGAAGAGTGTAAAAGTGAGCTGTTTATCCAGGCCACTTCTCACACTAAGCATGTGGATTGTTTCCACAGTGACACTCACAGCTATCCACAGTGGACTGTTTCCAACATTTCCACTGAATTCTGATACTAGCTGGAGATAGTTTCTCATTCTAAAGGTTTTGGGCTCACCCCCAGGATGACACCAGCATCAGACAACAGTCAAGGAAGTGTGTATGAGAGTGCACACATTTCTGCACAATTCTTTCACAGTCTTACACATTCCTGATTGTTAATTTATTAAACTAAGAATGGAACTCTGGAAAATGCTTACTGTGATCACTGTTTGATAAAGAAAAAAACATATACCCCAGCCACAGCCACATGGAACAGGTGCATAGTACAAGGTACAGGAAGGGGATGCATGGCCCCCGCAGGTCCCACCTGGAGACCCCAACTGTCCAGCACCTGTATGTGTTCACCAACCCTGAAGGAAGGGAGAATTGTGCTTACTTCATATTCAAAGGATTGGATTCAGCTTCCTTGTCTCATTTCATTCATCCATGTTGGTGTGAAGCAGGAGAACAAAGTTCCCTCAGTGTGTCCTGGTCAACTGCTTCCCCTGCATGTGGCCTGCAGGTATTCAGAAGGACAGAGGATGTGACAGTGAGAAGCTGCAGAGCTGTGGAGAGCAAGAGAACCCAGAGCAGATGCTGTTGGAGTTTCTGGACTTCGTGATGGTGACTTGTTGCCATGGAGCTGTTTTCTGGGAAGGATTTTGGGTTTTCCCTGGTAGAGTTGCTGAGGTTAATCTGCCTTGAATATGTTAAGGAAAATCTATGACGGTCAGCCTTAAAGAAAGGGTCATTCACGTAGTGCTCTGGAGAAAGGATTTAGGAATTTGGCAGTTGACTTAGATCAAAAGCAAAAGTGCTCCAGGTGAGGATGCCCTCTGGTGAGAAGATGCTGAAGGGAATAGATGTCTCCACACTGGAAGGCAGTGACACAGCAAAGCATGGTGACTCTCAGAGTGATATCCTTAGGTGTCCCTGCCTCATTCCAGGGTGGGAGGCACTCTGAGGCTGCATTTCAGTCATCCCAGCTCCCTCAGTGTTAGTGTGTATAAATGCATGTATATGCATATGTACACACATTTTAAATTTTATTTAATTATTCTTTTGTGGTACTGAGGATTGAACTCAGTGTCTCAAGCCTGCAGGCATCTGCTGGACAACTTGAGTCACCTGAGTGAGTTCCATTGTGTCCTTGGATATAGAGGCTGCCTGTCTGAGCCAGTTCAAAGGTTTGCTTTTCTTCCTCTTGATTCCTTTGTAGAATATTGCTGCCATCATATAACTCCCGTTTCTCCATGCACTGGGTAACTGTAGTCCGTGGTTAGTATGTTTTTCTTTCTTGGTTGAGAAGAGGTAGAGCATTAGAAAAGGTGTTGAGAAAGCCTTGGCCTCAGGTCCAATTCATCAGTTGCGTGTCTGCCCTTCCTCCTGTTCCAGTGTAATGTCTTTTGGCCTAGGCCACCTTTCTGCTGTTGTCAGGACGTCCCCATGGGTCAGAGTCTGGAATTCCCACTTGTAAACCCACGTCCATGATGAGAAAGCGGTAAGAGCCCAGTGAGTTCAGGAAGAAGCAGGTGGCCGCTCTCAGGAGCCAGGAGCCAGGTGTCATTCAACGCACTTTCCCCAGGCTGGGCCAGGTCAGCTCCCAGTTGAATCCCAGACAGGAAACAGCTGCAGCTAAAACCTGTCATTTGCCCTCCTCTTGGCTATGTATGGATCGCTTCTCCTGTCACTCAGGTCTATGGCTAGAGCAGCAGCCAATCAGAGCCACAGGAGCGGCCCAATCAGGAGCGCTAGCTGGGAAAGGCCCGCCCACATGGAGGACGCTTCCTTTCTTGGGCCGCCATTGTTGCGTCACTGAGCTGGTTGTGAGGAGTCCGGTGGCTCAGCTCCTGTCGCTGTGTGACGCTGACCTCCAGGAGCAGGAGTTGGACAGCAGAACACCCGGCAGTCAGGAATGGTGAGCGTGGGGCGGATTTGTGACACGGGCGAGGAGGGGTTGAGAGCGACTTGGCCCCGCGTGAGTCCCGGAGTCTGCGGCAGAGTCGCCGCCGGCGCCGCTCGCTCGTCCCCTCGGTCCCCGGGCGGGGCGGGGCCGCAGCCGGGACCCCAAGTTCCTGTCCCTTGTCCCCGCCGGAGCCCCCTGTCCCTCCGCGCCCGCAGCCCCGCGTCTCCCCACAGCGCGGTGCCGGCGGAGGTGGCGGGAGGCTCCCGAGTGGCCGCGGGGTCCCCGTCCCCATCCCGGCGCAGACCTGAGCGCCCCGAGTTTCCTGATGGTGGAAGCGGCGTCTCCACCGCCACCTGGTCCTCAGCCGGGGAATCCCTAGCTTTGTGGACTCCCCGCATGGCCGGCACGGGAAAGGGGTCCTCGGGGACACGTGTGGGGGAGCGGAAGGGGAGACGCGGGTCCCTCTGACGTGGTTGGTGTCGGCCTTGGCCTGTGTGCACACAGTGTTTACAAATGAAACGCAGATGGCGGGGACCTGAGCTTAGTGCAGAGGCGGGACAGCCCCAAGTGCAAGTCTGCGGGGTCTCCAGGGCCAGGCGAGCAGGCTGTGCTTTCTAGGGAGGAGCAAACAGCAGGAGAAAGAAGGGGAGAGGAGGGCGGTGGAGGGGCAGCATCAGCTCCTAGGACAGGGGACATGTCCCTGAGGTCACCTGTCCTTAGGTGACAGTTAAAAGAGGCGTCCCAAGGAGGGAGGAGAAAAAGTTCAGAAATGTGGCTTCTGTTGTGTCTGGCCAGCACATCAGAGTAAGGGGGGGCGCGGGGATGGTGACGTCCTCCAAGTGGAGGGGCAGGGAGAAGAGAGCAGCAGTGTGATCACTGCCATTTGGCAGTGTTCCAGCGGTAGGTTATTTGGCTTTTTTTTTTTTTTTTCTCTCTCTTTTTTGCTGTTTTTCTTTTCCTTCAGGCAGTTGGTGTGTTGGGGTGTTAATTTGTGTCAATTAGGAAAGTTTGAGAGGGTCTCCTGAGAGAAAGACATCTGCATTGTGTCACATGGAGAGAAAGATTTGTGATTTTGATGGTATATTTTGAAGGTAGTATAATTTTAAAAACTGGTGTCTGAGATCTTCTGGCATAGTCAACCTTAAATCTTTGTAATTCCCTGAGCATCAGGAGTGTCTTGTTATCAATTGCAGCCTTTGAGGCATTTTTCTGAATTTCTGCTATTGTGCTGACTCAGAGTGTCACCCTTCCATCACTTGAGGAAAGAAACTAGTAACTGCACAGAACAGACACAGCTATGTCCTGGCATCTGCAGTGTCGACAGAGTGGCAGGTCTGATCCCAGAAGCTGTGGGGACTGTTTTAAGTCTTTCTGGAGCCAGAATTGCATTGTGGGACACCAGGTTTGTGCTGGAGAATTGGTTGGTGTTCAGTAAACAGCACACATGTTGGTGTCATTAGTGAGGGCAGGACAAGGGCAGGGCAGCTCAGGTCAGAACCCAGCCTGTAGGACAAAGCCTGCTGCTGCTGGGAGGAGGGAACGCGGATCCGGATCTGGGAGCCCTTGGTGTGGGGAGGCCCCAGAATGAAGTTTCCTGGCTGCTCAGGCTTCCTCCCTCCCTCCCTGGGAGGGAAGCCCTGGGCTGTCTCTGCACAGTGACAGTGGTGTCTAGGGTCAGGGTTGTGTTCAACCTTCCAAGCCTGGGTCCCTTGTGAACTGTGGGTGAAGAACTGCTTCCCTGAGCTCCTCTCTTGTTCCCTGCATGGAATCTGTTTCTCTGTCTGTCTGTCTGTCTCTCTCTCTCTCTCTCTCCTCCCTCATCCTCCCTGCCTCTTCTTTATTCCCTCTCTCCCTCTTTTCTGTTTCCCTCCCTCTCCCAATTCCTCCCTCCTCTTCTCTCTCTCTCTCTCTCTGGTAGTGCTGGGATTTGAACTCAAGGCCATGTGTTTCCTAGTAGGTGCTCTAACCCTTCAGCCACACCCGGCCCCCCTCTGTAAAATCTTATTTCCATACCTTACCTGCTTTCAAAACCAGAATTTTATTTCAAGATTTGAGTGCAAGATGGCGATGTTCTGGCTTGGATCCTACGTGGACAGGACGATGAGGACTGACAAAAATAATTACTAATTTTTTTTTTTGGTTTTTTTTTGGTGTTGAGTATTCAGAACATAGCCTTGTTCATGTTAGGCAATGCTGTACTTATGCCAAAGCGGCTTTGAACTCATGATCCTCTGCCTCTGCTTCCTAAGTAGGTGGAATTAAAACTATGTACCACCACACTTGGTGCCAAGGTTTTTTTTTTGTCACCACTGGATTTGAACATGCTTGGTAGGCAGGCACTCTTACTGCTTCAGTCACTCCACCAGCCATTTTCTTTTTTTGTGGTGGGAGTTTTCAGGATCTGGTCTCTTGAACTATTTACCTGAGGCTGGCTTTGTCCAAGGATCCCTCTGATCTCTGTCTCCTGAATAGCTAGGATTACAGGAGTATTGCACCGGTTCCCAGCTCAGGTTTATTTATTGATGATGTTGAGAATAGTATTCTTATTTTTATACTCAAGTGGTAATGGAAAATACGTTTTTTACACAGTAGAAAAAATATACGTGGTTTGTTGATTATATGTAAATTCTGATTTTGTATAATTTTTGTTTGTAGTTGAATTTATCATCAGAACTTTCATGGATGTGTTTTGTGTTTTTGGTGATACTGGGGTTTGAGTTGCAGGTCTCACGCTTCCTAGGCAAGTACTTTACCACTTGAGCCATTCAGGCAGCCCTGTTTTGTGTTGGGTATTTTTGTAATAGGGTCTCATGAACTATGTGCCCTAACTAGCCTCAAACCATGATCCTCCTAATTCCTGCCTCCAGAGTAGCTAAGGTTACAGGCGTGAGCCACCAGTGCACAGATGGACATGTGTTTATTGTGTGACCTGTTGACACTTGAAACCTAATTTATTTAGCTTTGCTTGTCTGGCACACAGCCTCTTTGTAGGATTATAACTTGCCTTTACTCATCACCTCTGGCACTGAGAATTTTTTCTATGTGGCCCTTCATGTTTTTTGTAATTCATTCTCTCTCGTGCTGTCTCTCTCCCTCCTCCTCTCCCTCCTTCTCTCCCCGCCTCATATTATTGAAGAACAGGCATTCGAGGATCAGCTCACTTTTCATGACTTGGCTCATGTCTG